AGCTCCTTGATAAGTAATTTTGCAAAAAGGGTCACTGGGGCGAGAAAACCTATTGGGTCGTAACAACGAGCAACCATTGATAAAATATTTCTCTTTGTGCATTTAGAATTTATTAACTGAAATGAAAAACAAAACGTATCTGTAATAGGTTGCCATTGCAGTCCTAAAACTTTTAAAAATTCTGTATCGAAATCGACTGTCTGCGTTGAGCAATGTTCTGTTGGAATTTCAGATAATAAGTCACGGGAATTGGTGGCCCACTTCGTTAACTGGAAACCACCTCTACGAAAAAACTCTACTAATTGGTGATAAACGGGTATAGCTAATTCAGCGGAATCAATATTGGATACCAAGTCATCCACGTACATGTCTCGCTGGACAATCTCCGCAGCGATAGGCAGCGATTCCTTTTCATCATGAATTAGTTGTCGAATACATCTAAGAGCTAAAAATGGGGAAGATTTAATTCCAAAAGTAACCGTGTTTAGTTGGTAAACGTCTATGGGTGAATTTGGGGAAAATCGCCATAATATTTTTTGAAAATTTCTATCAGATTCTTGTACCATAATTTGCCTATACATCTGTTTCAAATCTGCTGTAAAAGCTACATGAAATAAACGAAAATTTAAAAGGGTTGTCAGTATATCCGATTGTAATTTTTCTCCAGTATATAACAAATCATTAAGAGAATAATTGCTTTCTGTTTTACAACTAGCATCGAATACTATCCTAATGGGTGTACTAGTAGAGCAAGATTTCAGTACTGCGTGATGAGGAATAAAGTAGTTACTATCGCCATTGCTATGAGAAACTTTTGACATGTGGCCTTGCGCTATATAGTCTCGTATAATGTCCGAATATTTATTTCTAAACTCTTCATTCCTTATCATTTTATTTTCTAATGTGAGGAATCTGCGAAGCGCAGTTGCACGTGACTCGCCCAAATTACTACTGTTATATTTAAAAGGTAATGCCACTGTGAATCGACCATTACTATCACGGCTATAAGTAGATTGATAAATATTTTCGCAAGCTAAATCATCGGGTTTAGCCACCGATATCGTTGGAATATCTTCAAATTCCCAAAACCGTTCAACTAAATTATCAAGGGAATGTTCAACTACAGCACAAAAATTAGACGGCGATAATGCTGGGGCGGTGACTGGGGCAGTGCCCATCACAACAAATCCAAGAGTGGTTCCGACGGCAATGGGTAAATTAGGTGGACCTATAATTCGGGTGTCTGTCAACAAATAAGGAAATAGTCCTGCTCCAATTATTCCGTCAACTTTGGCGGGTATGTGAAGCTTATCGTCCGCTAATGGTAATGACTTTAAATATCCTAAACAATCAATATTAATCTCCGAATTTGGCAACGTGTTAGCAATATTATCTACAATGAATACCTCCAATGAATAACGTTTTGTTGCATCAAACCTAGATCCAATTACCACTTGTGCTAAACCAATGATGTTGCTATTTACAGATCCTATGCCACGTACTAATCCAATATATTTAGACATTTTTAATTTTAGTTTGCGACACATTTCTAAGGTCAAAAAATTCCCTTGGCTGCAACTATCTATAAGAACACGTACCTCCCTATAAGCATCATCTCCGTTAAAAACGTAAACCTTTGCGGTGGCTAACACAATGGCTTGTGGAAGAGGCCTATTGTCTGCAATACAATAATTTAAAGTGGTACTAATACTAGTGTTCGCTTCGGCAGGATTATGATTCTCGACGGGTTTGCCTGCCGTTTTTTCCAGTACAGAATCGGATACATTCTTACCAGGAGACCTAAAATGCAGCAAAGTATGGTGTCGTGATCTGCACACTTTACAAGATTGCGTACTTTTACAATTTGCGATCTTATGAAATGCCAAACAATTCAGGCATAAGTTGTTAGTTTTGGTTAATTGATAACGCTCTTGCGGACTAACTTCTAAAAAGGTGGGACACATGCAAGCTACATGTGCAGCAGATTTACAAATTCCACATTTTACAGTGGTGTTGTCTTGAACTACGAACGAATGAGGCGCTTTTGCTTTATTGATACTACTACAATCTCGACTAGAAGCATGTTTAAAACTAGCAGCCATGGAAGGTATTTTTGAAGGAGCATTAGTACGGGCGCATATCTTTGCTTGTTCTTTAACGAATGTTACAATATCGTCATACGACGGAATTTCAGATTTTCGGCGAGTATTTTCAAATAACCTTTGCGTGTCTGGATTTAATTTTGAAAAGGCGAGATAAGACAAAAGGTAATCAGCCAAGTCCTCAATTTCTAATTTGCGCAATGCCGTTACTGCTGAATGAAAAGTTTCTATAAACAAGTTCAGCGACGCGAAAGTTTCTCCTTGAGCCTGTTTAAAATTAAGTAACTGCTCTATGTATGAATTTGCGATTAAACGTTTATCATCAAACTTATCGACCAATGCCTTAAGAATAATTCGATAGTTATCGCCAATAGGGGGAATACCTGAACACACTGACAGCGCACTGCCGCTCAAGCACCCAACCAAATAATTGACACGATCGACATCGGTTAAATCTCTATTGTTATGAATCATATTGTTGTAAATTTCTATGAACAAAGGCCAATCTTTAATATTACCATTAAATTTCGGCAGAGGCAACTCTGGTAACTTCCGAATTGTTTTTGCTGTGACTAGATCACGTTGTGGTTCTGATCCTGTAGCGTAAGGCGATGCAGTAGCAGGGGGAATTGCACGTTTCGCGACCGATTCTATGTGACAAATTAATTGGTCAAATGTTTCTAATACTTGGTAATTAGGGACGTGATCTTCGCTAATTTGATATTCAAGTTTATTGATTTCATCTAAGGTGTCTAAAAATTTTGTTTTTGTATCTGCCAAGGTTTCGTATCTAACCCGAAAATTATTCAATTTTTCTGAAGAAGATATATCGCGACTATTCTCATACAATCTCTGCAACCTTTGAAAATATTGCTCCTTTTTTGCAACTAAAATTCTAAGTTGTTGCGCTTTCGATGCCATTGAAACTATTGAAATACTACTATACAAATGAAAACCAAAACCAAAGGAAAGGCAACAAATGTGCTCTGTGTAATATCTATTTCGCGATAAACGAATCTGCGCTCGATAGGACCAACAAATGTTTTATAATGAAATGGACTGTATTCCAAAAATTTTGCACTTACCCTTTAGATTTAAATTCTCCGCACAAGGGATAAGGACAAGTGACAAGGTTACGGCTTGGAAAGGGTAAATGCAAGGATGAATTTTTCACAAAACTATTAGTTCGTTGATCGTCCTTTATTTATTGCACAGAGCGAATTTTAATTGCTTTTAGTAATTGTATCAGTAACCGAAGTCAACTAACTCTCGCGACGGACTTAATGCGAATGTCCAGTTGAGTTATCTACTCGACCCTGGCAGATTAGAATGGTATGGGAAATCCGGAAAATAAATGCCGTTCTTGAATTATGCTTTTAAAACCAAACACTTACAGTTCTCCCGAGATCCCCGATGTTGGCCTTTGAATTTGAATCACCCTGTATAGGTCAATTATTACACATTACACTTAAACTGACTAAACTAATACTAATAATATGTAATAGGTACTATCATTGAATAAAGAGCTTTATTCAATGGTACTATTGAAGTTCAAAAAATTTAATTTGCAACAAGGAATGGATTATAAATTACGGTATTTTAATCTGCAAAGTGCAATAAGCAAAGATAAAGAATAAGGAAGACGGTCAAACAAATCGCATTACAAATAAACAAACACCCACACAAGGTCGCAACTTGCCAGACATCAACAACAATATACAACAGCCCTTTGTTCTAAAAATAACGTAAAATTTTGATATTTGTTATAAAGGAATGTTACCTATCCCCATTTCTATTATTTATTTCATAAAACGATAGATAGAGGAGGTTACCTTTTGCAATGAATAGGAAAGAGAAACCAAATAAATTTCGAAGCAAGTAGTTGACAAAATAAAAATATACCAGTGAACGATCTTTTTCTTGCTATCAGCAAATTCTTTTACAAGCAGGCTCTGTTTAACCTTGAAAGAGAATCGCTAAATGATTTAACATAGGCAACTTACATAGCCTGCTAGTTTTTTTTTTGCTCGTAAATTTTTGTCTTTTGTTATCCCCATTACACAGTACTAGCTCAACGGTACTAGCCTAGTTAAAAAGTAAGAACAACTCCATCCCAAGATAAAAGCGCTTAGGTACCTATTTCATATCTTTATCGTATTTTTTACCGACTTCATGAAACTCTTGGTGGCACCCTCTGTGAGAAAGAAGCTACACTGTTGACCGCGATATTAGTCACAGCTGCGTAGTTTATTTCCATTTCTCCAGTTTACATGCCCATTTTTCAGAACTTCATTCACCACTTTTTTTATGAAAACTTTTGAGCTTCACATAAATTGCCAAAATATAGATAAGTATTCACCGCTACCGATCCCATACATTCGTATTGCTTAAAATGCTCCCTAATTTTTGCAATTAATTCCTAAACTATGAACTCTTTTGACGCATGTTTTCTAGATTTTTTAAACATATATTAATGGACAAAATATCAGTTTATATTGTATGGAAACTATGCTCTGTACATCTATCTACCTAATGCATATTTTTCCGATCATATACACCCCTTGCTTATGGAATGGTGAATGAAGTTCTGAGGCAATGCACGCCCCATTGAATTACATGTGCATCACCAGTTGCCTATATTCTCTAAATCCAAACCTTAATGAAATGCCGGGTTTCTACTGAAATTGCGCATACGGTCTTCTTACAAAACTAGTAAGGTAGTTTCTAGGAAATTGCCAACGTTATTATTAAATAATGCATCCACTTTTACGTCCATTGTCAATAGTTCACACATCATTTCTCCTGCAATGTAAGTGCTGAAAGGTTGCATTGTAACCGAGACACAAACTGTTAGAACGCTTAACTAAAAGCATTTAAAGATAATTACATAATGACCAATTAACGTTAACTCGAGTTTTGTTTTTAGGTGGAGATACGCGGATAACATGTGTCCATGAAGAAAACTTGGGGAATTGTGGATGATTGTCAGATTTGAATTCCCGACTTCAATCTTTGGGTATGTATAACCTGCCATAAATTAAAAAAAATAAAACTTCATTAGTTTATTTGGGTTATTTAAAGTCAATAATTTCCTACAATGAAACCTTGAAAATTTATAGATGCGCACTTGTCCGGATTCCTATCAAACACTTTCGGAAATGATCTTATTTTAAGTATATTATGATAGGGGATAGGATATCTATTTTTAATTGAGTACCGGTGTCATTATACTAAACAAGGAAGTATACTGTATAGGATTGTGTATATGTTATCCACTCGCGATTAGATACTAGAAATTATAAACATCCCTTTAGATCAGAGAAAGATTATATTTCATGGAGCTATGATCATCACAGACGTTTTAATAAAACGGTTATATTTAGATAAAGTGGTTAACACATTCTAGGGGTACAACGTTTATCCATTGTAATGGGCGGTAGTTTCGACAATTACTATAATGAAATTCTGTGGGGGAAATTTTACTTTTAGTTTTTTTTTGTCGTCAGTTGCCGTTCCTTTTGTGTGATTTTAGCGCCGTTTACATTTTTCCTGGAAAATGATGCCTTTAGTAATAAATTCCATTTTCTTTGAATTAAAATATGTCGCTAGTATATGCTTTTGTAAATAGATAAGACGATAAGTTAAGCGTGTAGCCTGGAACGAATGTTCTTCAAAATAAAAGGCAGAGATAGCAAGAAACCTCGCAGAAATACGATACAATTGAATGAACTTGATGGTAGGTGGAGTTTTGTGTTTTTAAACAATTTAGCGGTAGATATCTGATATCATAATGGTACAATGACTCTCCCATCACAGTAACCGCCATATTAGAACCTCTTATTTTTTAAATGTAGTAGGGCCTCACTAATCCGGACCCCTGCTTATTCGGTGATCGCGGTAATCCGGACAGACAATGCGGGCGGTGGCGTTGGCGAGATCACAATTCACAAGTATCAGTTGTCATCAATCGATCTACGTACTACATATACGTAATACGTATACAATATACGTATACCTACGGTGCACAGTACTTGATTAAGGTAGCAGACTCGTCAGATAAACGTTAAAAAATCAATAGTTTTTCTTTAAATGATAAGCATAATGCAGTGCAGGACATGCAACATTTTAATAATTAATTGTCAGTGAGCTCCAAAATGGCGGAGGAGCTTACGGACTGTAAAGTTTACGGACGAGTCAGCTGTGGTATACCAGGGTGTTCCATAAGTATGTAAAAAATGAGAGGTCCAACGTGCTTCGTTTGGGTGCCATCTCCAAAACAGTGGTGAAATTTGCATTTCTTCTTTAATTTTTTTCTGAGCAACTATAAGAGTTAGGAAGACTGGTGGCAGGTCTTTGAATGGGTTTTCGGGTATGCCCTTTCCGATTTTCAACATTCGTACCACGAAAGGACACTCGTAAATGGGGATGCGAAAAAATTCTGATTTCGACGAAATTTGGTATCTGGATATCTAGTCAGTGATCTACTTTCGGATGTAGCTAATTGAAAATGTCACAAATGACAAAAAGAATAATAAAGTCGATATTATGTTTAAATGACATTAAAAAATTCGGTATGTCGATCATGGCATTGAAGTCTACAAATTCGGTTCCAACAAGATGTAGATTGTGCGTGGCCGCGGGTGGTGGGACAATGCTATTTAAGTAGTCAAGTATCGACTTAAATCGGGAACTAGAAATAAAATTTTGTGCATGACGGCATAGGGTAAAGATTTTAAAGACAAATAATTTGTGCATCTTGCTGGCATCAAAACCTAGTAATAAATTAAGTAAAATTTATTGCCAATACAGTGGAAAGATGACCTTTTATCTCGGTGCATAAATAACCACGAACTCGAGTATTATTTTCTCGAATTTTGTAGTTGGTTTGTTTGGATTAACCATTCATACGAATTTTCCTTTTTTCAAAATGGGCATTTATCATGAGGATAAGGTGGCCATCAAGGTGATATAAAAAGTCCATTGTATCATTATAGCGGTCTATTTCCATATATCTATAGAAAGCGACATTTTCCGGGGGAGAAATAGGATTAATTCGTCCCGATGAGAATTTTACCTGCGTAGATTATTTTGAACTATTTGGAATTGTATGAAAACTTGGTCGTGTATTCAACATTTATGGAATGCATGATGAAAAACACATGCAGTTTTATTTTATCTCTGTTGACAGGTAACAAACTTATCACTTTTTATGACCACTCTCCGACCGGTAGTTGATTGACATGCACGGTTTCACTCCCTTTCTGTGAACGATTCAGTGAGTGTCGCATTAGCAATAATTTTATGAGTTTATGTCTTACAGTTTTTGGTAAATTCATACTGAGCAATAGTGTCACACCTTCACTCTCGCCTGGGTTTTTTTATAAGGAAATTATAGCCTGTTCCAAGATATACAGTGATGTTTTAAATGCTTACCTCTTATAGCTACAGAGACACTGATAAACGTTTACAGTTTGGAGTTTATTAAAACTGTATGCAGTACAGGATGTCAATGTAATATTATTTTTGCTTAGGTTACATGAGTGGCTAATGATATTTTTATGGACAAACTGCCTGTTTTAGGTATTTTTACGTAGAATCCAGTGGCGTAGTAAAAAAATGCTGGGACCACCGTTTCTGAGATACGAGCCAATGTTGGTATTTCTTAAATGCAGCACCCTGTATATCGTCAATTGTTTTGGATTATTTTTTCTTTAGGTGCCTATATTTCCTTTAATTTTAGCGATGAACCAAAAACAAAAAACCGTATTTTTTACGGTTTTTAAATAGTAGGCCATGGATTCGTGGAGATTGTTTTGTTTATTGTATCCATGGTAACTAAGGCAGCCACTATTGATAAATAAATAAATAGAAGCATAATAGTATTTCAAAAATAAATAAAATATACAGTGATTTTTTTTAATGCGAACATAGGATTTTGTATGCAATGTAATTTTCCTATTTCAATTTATTTAAAAAAACGCATCAATCTATTGAGTAGTTTAAATTAGTAGATAAAATTGACAGCTGTCACATTTTTAAAAATACCGCTGTTTAATTTAATTTAAACAAACTTACTTTAGATATGAAGGTCCAAATTGTAAATTGTTACAAACGTGAGAATAGTTTTAGGAGAGTTCGGGACTTATTTGCAATATGTATTGAATAGATCAAATTAGTAAAATACCAGATGCACATAATTTACAAATAATTGAAGGTTGGTTCACAATGAAGTGTGCCCTGTGGGTTCAAGTTATTGTAAGTTTAAGAAAAATGTATCCTAATGTTGCTATAATATGGCCTCTCAGGCCCTTATAGGGTGTTATTAGTGGAGATCATTTCGAGTCACATTTACTAGTTTAAACCTTTTTGTGCTTTTAGTAATTTTGAAACCTCCAAACCAAAGCGCGATTTCTAGGTCACTAATCGATCGATTTTAAAAAATAAAAACGGTTGTGAAAAACCATTCCAAATTATGAATCCTTTGATCTTACGCCCTATTTAAAAATTTGTGACTACTAACACATTGTTAAATAGCAAGAATTATTTTTGCATAAAAATTGACCCCCTCGATATAAAACTCGACCGGGTTTTGGATGTTTGTCAAAATACTTATTTTATCCACTTTTGAGGGCTACAAATATTCTTTGGAACACCCTTTGTATTTAAGTATATAATATCAGATCCAGCGCAGCATAAAAGCAATTTGACCGTGCGATAAATTAACATCAATCTGCCACAATATCTTTAGAAAGTGCTCGTCTTCATCTTTATTAATGATAATTAGAATGATAATTAGGTGCGTTTGAACTGCTTCTTTTTGGAACTCATAATTGCAAAAGCGTGCGAAATAATTACATAAATTTGCGGTAACGCTATTAATTTACCATTCCGGATGATAATTGAATGAACGATAATTATTGCGTTACGAAGTGAAACGCTAAATTTTCATGGAAATTGCAAATGACAGTGTAATGTCAAAGGCGAGGTGGACGTATAGAACAGACAACAAATAAAATACACTTGTGTAACTATTTTAGGTGCTTATATTTCGGCAATGTGCCAAAATTGTGATGTTTTTGTAGAATCTGTTAAGTACTTTCATTTCTTAAGATAAGTGTGGTGTTGTGTTTATACTCGCATTCTTGAAAACATCGTTAAAAATATTTTCGGCGAGTATGGGTTACCTCATAACCAACTGCACTATCCTTTTTAGGATTATTTATTTATTTACATTTTGTGTTTATTCGACTCCACAAGTTCGATGGAGATATGATGGTATCGGCTGTTTATTTTTGTCATTATGAGTCAATCTTCTTTAAATATTTTGAATATTTAAATACTCTGCAGTCGGTACAATGATTGAAATATGATTGGTTCTGCAGGAGTGTATGTACCTATACGCAGACAAATTGAATTTGAGTGTAAATTACTATATTCTGTAAACAAACAAAATAAATGAGAAATTAATAAGTGGTACCCCGCAGAATGAAATGGCAAAACCTGTTCTACCAATCTATGGCAAATTAAAGGGAACGAATTTCTGATGAGGATTAATTAAGAAATGTATGGAATAGGTTATTCATTTGTGCTTTGTAGCTCATTTTTGCCAGTAGGATTATATAGTTTCACTCAGGTCCGGCCCATGCATATGAGGCGCAGTTAAGGGAACATGTTCTTCCGCCCGTCATATTGTGACGATTGGTATATGGAGCCCGCTTCTTCTTATTGAAGTTACAAGTTTCATCTTCATTGTCTTGAACTTCCACCAGAACTTTCATGCACTATCATCATCATTATGGACCATTGTTTTGTGTACCCATTTCTACTTCTGCGGATGTTCCTTCCCCAGATGCGGTCAAAGCCGTTGCAGATGATGAAGTGAGATATTTTTGCAAATTCATTTTTTTGGTTTCTTTTTGTTTTTAGTGCACTTTCACTTTCAAAAAATAAGAAGTGAGAAATGAGATCTGAGTCACAAAAGTTCCGGAACTACACTACTTACAGACTTGGCATTGG